CAGACAAGAAAGTAGTTGCCAACCAGACTTGACATTGGGGTGGTAAACAACGAACGAAGACTGTGGTGGATGTTGCAATACCCAGTGAGTATAACTTCTGAAAGTAGGAACATGAACGTAAACAAAGAGATGCTAGAAATGATGTGGAAAGTGAAGGTAGTAGTAGCCGCCCACTTGTGATGGGAGCACTCTGGGCTGTGACCCCCAAGTTGGTAAGTTGGGGAAGTGGCTTCAGCAAATTCAAGGTGTGACATCTAAGATCACTGTCCATACGAGTGCCGTACTATGGAATAAGTTCGATATCGAACCACCACGATTAATGCATTAAAAGGACATAAACAAAAACAACTTTTGCAAAAAATAAAATAACACATTTCCAGCATTCGGCACTTTAAGCATGTCTCCTTAGCCTCATCCTCCCATTCTAACATACATCCTGCCAATATGTGAAGCTCAACCCACTGACAGTGCTGGTCAGTGAGCTGAACTGTAACAAACAGGACAGCATGACAAGGAGAGGACCCAAAAGCATCTAGGAAATATATTTCTCAAAGCCTGTACTGCAAAAAAGAAAAGGAAAAATAAATAATAGCACTAGCAAAGGAATGGAGGACAGATAAATTAATTGTGTATCCACAATTCCCTTACAGTAGAGGTTACATTTGTTTAATACCTTCGAGGTAAATAAAGTCCTATCAGGGCCGGTCTTAGGGGTGTGCAAGCTGTGCGGCCACACAGGGCGCCATGCGGCCACACAGCCAACCTGAATTAAAAAAAAATTTTAAAAAATTGTGGTGGGGCAGAGCTTCCCGTATGGCTGGGGCAGAGCTAAAAGTGCCAGATAAGTGCTGCAGGCAAAGCAGGAAGGAGTCCTTGCTTCCCCCAACAAACAGTCTCCAGGAGCTGCACTGCCTTCACAATGAACAGAAGTAACTATGTGATTGTCAGTGTGAATGTGACTGTCTGTGACTGTCTGCCTCTGTGTGTGTGTGTGTATATGAGACTGCCTGAGTGTGTGTATGTGTGTGTGTATATATGAGACTGCCTGCCTGCGTGTGTGTATATATATGAGACTGCCTGCGTGTGTGTGTGTGTGTGTGTGTGTGTGTATATATATATGAGACTGCCTGCCTGCGTGTGTGTGTGTGTGTGTGTGTGTGTGTGTGTGTGTGTGTGTGTGTATATATATATATATATGAGACTGCCTGCCTGCCTGCGTGCGCGTGTGTGTGTATATATATATGAGACTGCCTGCCTGCGTGTGTGTGTGTATATATATGAGACTGCCTGCCTGCGTGTGTGTGTGTGTATATATGAGACTGCCTGCCTGCGTGTGTATATATGAGACTGCCTGCCTGCGTATGTGTGTATATATATATATATATATATATATATATATATATATATACATATATACATATACATATATATATATACATATATATATATATATATATATATATACATATATATATATATATATATATATATATATATATATATATATATATATATATATATATATATATATGAGACTGCCTGCCTGCGTGTGTGTGTATATATTAGACTGCCTGCCTGCGTGTGTGTGTGTGTATATATGAGACTGCCTGCCTGTGTGTTTGTGTATATATGAGACTGCCTGCTGCCTGCGCATGTGTGTGTGTATATATATATATATATATATATATATATATATATATATATATATATGAGACTGCCTGCCTGCGTGTGTGTGTGTGTGTGTATATATATATGAGACTGCCTGCCTGCGTGTATATGACTGCCTGCGTCTGTGTGTGTGTGCGCGCGCCTGCCTGCACAACTGCCAAACTGTGTGTATGAGACTGCCTGCCCGCCCGCGACTGACTGCCTGCGGGTGCGTGCGAGTGCCTGCGAGCGCGCTACTGCCTGACAATAAATGGCTAAGCCAAACCCCCTCCGATCCACCCAGGGGTCTGGCCACTTAGAAACAACTAGTTTGAGGTATATAATGAGAATGTTGGTTTATCCAGAGAGATTACTTTTTGGAGAACTCTAACATCTGAATCTCCCACAAGAATTATATACAAAAGGTAAATCTATGTAAGGATTTCTTGTGTTTTCTCTTATTTTATGGATTGTTTTGCAATTTGCTATTTGTGTTTCTGTATGTAATTTATTTCTGTATTTTTGTACACAGAACTGCGAATCCTTTTTTGTCAGATAAAATGTTTACTTAATCAGCTTGTGTCTTTGTTCTCTATGAGCTCACTCTCCTGAGGAAAGCGCAGGTAAACACGTTACCAAAAGGGTTAATGTGATACTATAATTCTTCTGTGTGTGGGGTAACCTAAGACACCCGGATATAAAGTCTTGGTGGTGGCAGTAAAGTGTCGGGTGTTGGTGTAGAAGGCATTGCAGGGGTTAATTTAATGGTGAGCTGGGACTAGCAACAGGTAACCAGGGCTCTGATGTCATTAACCCTTTCACTTACACACTCTCTCGGCTAGGCCAATAGCCCACGCTCGTGACAGGGGGCCAAGCAACATACAACCTGATATCAGGAGTGCAAAAGTGGAATGAACAATAACAAAAAAATTATTAGATGTTGGTAGTAACATTTTAAAAAGCTGTGATGCATCTGTTCCAAACAGGCATAAGGGGTTGCAGGTTTTTCCTTAAAACACAGGATCAGAAATAGTTTATTTTGTATGAACTAAGAATAATAAAAAAAAAAAAAAAGCTTTTTTTAATGATTATTTTCAGTATGTACTTATTGCTTTACTTTGCTCTCTGCTGATACTAGAGTAAACAAATTAGTGGATGGCATGGCCACTTTAAGATGTCAAGGGATTAAAGTAATGGCCTGCCATCAAGAAAGCACTGTGTAACCACAGTGTGATTACCTCATCTCATTAGCTGATTGAATCCAAGCACATACAGCATTAAAATATCAGAGTTGAGCTAATGCAAATGAATGGTGACAATATTCACACACACATTTCTCTCCTTACAGTTGGCAAAGAACCACACTTTGTTACTTAATACTGCTGGAAACAAACAGAAATCTCTAGCTTGAAATCACAAAGAGTTTTTAGTCTGCTCCTGGTGAATGACTCAAAGGGGACTTTTCCAGTGATAGAGAGAAATGTATGTGTGTGTGTATATATATATACTGGACCCCCAAAAAATTCTTACAAATGTTTTCATCCTTAAGGTTAAACCCTCTGAATTTTCTCTAGGCATAAAAAGATAATTAGAAAATTATCCAAAACAGTGGTTCTCAAATCCAGCATGGGTTGTTCATATAGGGTTTAGTCAATGCAAGTTAAAACTTGAATAGCAAAATTTATGGAAAAATAGCGGATCAGGAAAAATTCTCCATTTCAGCTACAATTACAAATTCTGAGAGTGAGAGTGTGTGTATGTATGTATTTATATATTATGTGTGTGTGAAAGGGTTAGTAAAAGCCCCCTGTTTTCACCAACACTAGCACACACATAATGTGTAATTGTAGCTGAAATGTAGAATGTGAAAAGTGTCATGGTGTACAGTGGTTAGTGTGTGAGTCACCCTTGCCACTGGTTCTCTTCCTCCACATGGCAAGTGACATCTGGAGGAAAGGGTTCAATGACATGCCACTTTCCTTTTCTGTAACTAATCCCTTCTATTTTACTGTTCCACGTTTGTACTCGTCACTGACCCTTTTCCTCTGTCACTGCCCCCGATCATTTTAATTTTTATAAGGTACCCTCCTTATTACCATTTTTTTTTTTTTTCATATGGGTAAGGGCCACATCCCTGGTTTCTAATAAAAGCTGCACAGAGTTCCACTTCTAGTACAAACAAATACAGCACATACCCAGTGTGATGTCACACATTACTGCAGACTGAGCCACAGGGAAGCCGATGTGGCTGTAACAAACAATGCTCAGCCTTGTACAGCTGTACTTTACAATGCTAGCAGAGGCTCCAGTCCTGGACCTTTCAGAGCCCTGAAAGTCAAATGTCTCAAGCTCTGCAATCTCCCCTCCATTAGAAGTGTGCTGGAGGCTGGTTTGACACTGGTGTCAAATTCAGTTGTTTTGTATGGCTTTTTTTTTTTACATGCTACAGTTAAAAAAAATGTATTCTTCAAATAATATAATAATTAGAAACAATAATAATGCTAGAAACACTAAGTAATAGTGGGGAGGCAAAAATTAGAAACCTCTTCACCACTTAGACTAAAATAACCTTTGGTTCAAAATATCTTATTAATGCAGCTTCACACCTTTGTGCTGCACCCTTTTACCAGCAACATCAAAATCACCAATATATAAATATAGACATACAGTGCCAACTCAAAATTTCTCAGACATCAGATTCACATAAAAGAACAGAAAATACAAAATACAGCAAATAGTTAAAGGACCACTATAGTGCCAGGAAAACATACTCGTTTTCCTTGCAATATAGTGCCCTGAGGCTGCCCCCAACCTCAGGGACCCCCTCCCGCCGGGCTCTGGGGAGAGGAAGGGGTTAAACTCACCTCTTTCTCCAGCGCCAGGCGGGGAGCTCTCCTCCTACTCTCCGCCTTCTCTCCTCCTCTTCAGCTGAATGCGCATGCGCGGCAGGAGCTGCGCACGCATTCAGCCAGTTGATAGGAAAGCATTCTCAATGCTTTCCTATGGACGCTGGCGTCTTCTCACTGTGATTTTCACAGTGAGAAGCACGCAAGCGCCTCTAGCGGCTGTCAAGAGACAGCCACAGGAGGCTGGATTAACCCTAACATAAACATAGCAGTTTCACTGAAAATGCTGTTTATAAAAAAAAAAAAGGGTTAACCCTAGCTGGACCTGGCACCCAGACCACTTTATAAAGTGTATTTGTTATATTAAAGGGACACTATAGTCACCTGAACAACTTTAGCTTAATGAAGCCGTTTTGGTGTATAGAACATGCCCCTGCAGCCTCACTGGTCAATCCTCTGCCATTTAGGAGTTAAATCCCTTTGTTTATGAACCCTACTCACACCTCCCTGCATGTGACTTGCACAGCCTTCCATAAACACTTCCTGTAAAGAGAGCCCTATTTAGGCTTTCTTTATTGCAAGTTCGGTTTAATTAAGATTTTCTTATCCCCTGCTATGTTAATTGCTTGCTAGACCCTGCAAGAGCCTCCTGTATGTGATTAAAGTTCAATTTAGAGATTGAGATACAATTATGTAAGGTAAATAACATATGTTTGAAAGTGAAACCAGTTTTTTTTTTCCATGCAGGCTCTGTCAATCATAGCCAGGGGAGGTGTGGCTAGGGCTGCATAAACAGAAACAAAGTGATTTAACTCCTAAATGACAGTGACTTGAGCAGTGAAATTGCAGGGGAATGATCTATACACCAAAACTGCTTTATTTGGCTAAAGTAATTTAGGTGACTATAGTGTTCCTTTAAGCATATATTTTTTTCCATACTTCATTTTACATTTGTTAATAAATTCTTCTTGTTTTAATACACTGGATATTTTATATTTTGCCATTATTGATATTGATCTACATTTTTCTTTTTTTTTACTGCATTTAGAGACTGCAGGATCCCTATACATATTTAAATTATCCAACTATCCCTATGTATTTCACTTTTTGCTGTATTTTGTATTTTCTATTCTCTCGCTTTTTTTTTTATAAATCTGATTTTAATATTTAAGTCAGACCTATTTCAATGAAACACTGTTGGAGGAAACATCTGTCTAACAATAGTTTTCTATTTAAGATGCATTACAGTCCAAAGGCTACTCAGCATGAAATAGGGATTTCATTATGTAACATGAGGCTGTATATTCAAGCAATATTTACATTTGTAGATAATTAATTCCATTAATCCAAGTTAATTGAACTTGTGCCTGCACTTTTTTCACAACAAAAAGGTTATATAATAATCAATGTTCAGAAAAACATTTTATTCTGAACATTGTTTATTTTATAACCTTTTTGTTGTGAAAAAAGTGCAGACAAGTTCAATTAACTTGGATTAATTTACTACATTCCCATTGTTATTCTGTAAAAATAGGTACACATTGAACATCTTAGCTTAAAAGGTTATTTTAAGCATCATAAATCACTTTAATTAGTGATTTAAAGTGGTCATGGTGTATAAATGAGCATCTTTTCAAAATGAAACTGCACAAACTGAGAAATTTTACTCCACCTCCAGAAGTATAATTAGTTTGTCTGTACCAAGCCCAGAACAAGAATACTAGGATAGCTAATGTCAATTCTGTGCATATTTTTTGCACTGATGGTGGTCATTCTGTAGTGCCGATCTGACATTCTCAACCAATGAATGAGAGTCAGGATCCATATTTGGCCTCTGCAGCTATGATGAAATTAGATGTGCATCAACAAACATCGGAGAAAGTTTGGTGTCCAGTGGGGACCCAGATAAGAGAGTAAACTATTGCAGTTTAATTTTCTTTTTATATATTATTTTTTTTTGTTTAGCCATTGCAGTAAAAAAAACACTGATGTTTAAGCAAAAAGATGAATATGTATGCTGTAAAATATTATTTTAGTTAAATAAAACAATTTAAGTTGTTCTCCAAATATGAGTGATTAACATGCGTTAACTTAGTGATTAACCTTGTTAAACTTATTCACACTGCAATCATTTCATAATTATCTATGTATTTTTGGTATATAACAAAATCAGTTCTGATATAACTGTTAAACTAATCTGTAAAGCTATTACTCTAAGAAATTATCTTACAAATATTAAATCTTTAGGTTAAAAAATCATGATTTAAATAGAGTCTCACTGACTTGTGATTTCAAAACAAAAACAACCGGCCCAAATGGTAATCTTACACTTATAGTCAATAACTTTAGTAATTTTTCTATGGATGTTTTAACATAAAATAACAAACATACATATAAGAGGCTGCCAACACTGATTGAAGAAGATAGTCACCAGACCCAAAGGTTAAGGATAAAAGCATTTCTTAAAAATTACATTTAGACTTATTGGATCTATAATATTTAAAATATGTAGCTTAAAAAATATATATATATAAAGATATACATATATATATATATATATATATATATATATATATATATATATATATATATATATATATATATATATATATATATATATATATATATATATCTCAAACTGGATATTAATTTATCCTCTGTTGAGGTGTGGAATATCCTTCATACCTATGATTAATATACAAGAGCAGCATAGCTGGTTGCAAAACAGTTATTTTATTAACATTCTTTAGATAAACATGTTCACTTGCAGTCACTGCACAAATGCAGGCCTGGAAATAGGCAAGTTCTATTTGAAATCATATTAAAACAGTAAACAAACCTTCCCATTGTGTTTCCAATGTTGTCTCCGCTTCTGATCTGTGTTACACTACTCTACACAAATATATGTATCTACAGTGGAACACAAGCACTATCCCAAGCTAGAGACCATCCCACAGTAATATAGCAAATGGAAATACCGGTAATTCACCAGGGAATACAAAACATGTGCGTGGATTGATGAACCTGGTCAGCTTCCCTTTGCATATGAGGAATATTCTATCATGCTATTGATTGACTAAGTCATTTTTATGCTACTTCTATTTTTATCCTGTGTTGAGTTTTTGTTGTACACAAAACAAATATATTTATTTTTCTTCCTCGGTTGCCTTCCTTTCAACTAGACAGATGGCTGAGGTCAATCAACACTACAAGTTACTTGTAGTGAATTGTAACAAAAAAAACAAAACAAAACAAAAAAAGGTAAATTTATTTCAATAACTGACATACTGCACTAGTTATAAAAATAATCCTTCTCCCCCGAACCAACCTAGCTGAAACGCACAACACCTCGACAAGCTCCTCACACCCCGTAGGCACAGACACAACCTACCCAACTTACACACACAGACAACTGACAGGTTTCCCCCTGACCAAAACTGACACCCGAACGGCATTGCACCGACCGAGACAACCTACCCACCCTACCAGGACCTGGAGCAATCCAGGACGGACAACCTAATGCAACCAGAAGCACAGAGATAGGTTTGAGACACGGGAACACTGAACCCCGGACAAATGATGAGACCCCAAAGTTCACGCACCACAACCAGAGCACCGCACCTACAGTTAGTAAACTGCCTCTAAGTTGTATGGAAGCTCCCCCCGTACCTGCGACACATAGACAACCCCCGGATGACTAGCACGTTACTTAGCACCACGGTCTGCAGAAGGGACGACTTAACCTAGGTCGACAGACCCCAACCGGGGAACCGTAAACGAAATAACTGGGTCCAATGGTACACATAGCATCCTAAGTAGCGTCGTACACCTAAGAGATAATGCCCAACGGATACAACAGAAGCCGGGGTGATGTCCCAGGGATAGCGCATGACACACGGCCAGCCAAAATCGCAGTCTGGATCAGACAGTCGTTGCTAAGACCTGGACACAGTCCTTGAACCGTTAGAGCGCTAAGTATCTGTAGGCTATAGCCATGATAGCCAGGGAGGTCAATAGAGGGAACCCACAGACGGGTCTATGTTGCTGCTGGAGCAAAACCTAGTTCGCACTAAGTTGTTCAAACTGCCTAAATGTACCTCATCAGACTGACCAATGTTACACTATTTTTTCTGAAAAACTGAAAAATAAAGATTGTCAAAAAAAAAAAAAAAAAAATCCTTCTCTGATTTTGCTTTTGACTACTACTTCATGCACAAAAAGGAATCTATAGGCACTCAGACCACTTCCTCTCAATGAAGGCCTGGGTGCCATATCCCTTTAGTTTTACCATGCAACTGAAAACGCAGCCGTTCTTCAGGAATGGCAATGGTTATACTGCAGGCACTTCTGGTACTTGGTTATTTTAATCAGATGGTTTTATAGAAACCATCTGACTGATGCAGCATGGTAGTTTTCATTCCGAATGCTACATAAACATGTTTGCATTCCTAATGCTATATTTTCCCCTTAAGTCCACATGTTTACTAATCCTTAAAATGTATACTACTATTACCACAATTTACAGTGACAACATACTACACAATGATTTATAATAAAACAGCAAATAGTGTTCAAATTAATATAAACAGAAGCATAGAGTGAAGAAGCCAATGCTTAAGAATATAATGAAGCACTTCATGCACCGTAACGACTACAGTGCACTGCAATGGCTATGGTGCCAAGCGTGGCCTAGTGCCATTCCCCTAAGTAAGTAGTAAAACAGTTTTAGAATGGTTTGACTGCTTACCTCGGCACTGCACCTTGCCTCCACTACAACCTCCTGTCTAGCTAGAAAACTGCATAGAGGCAGGGTGCAGCACCTAAAAGACCCCAGGTAATAAGTTAAACCATTCTAAAATGGTTTGACTACTTACTAGGGGGAAAGGGGCAGAATATCACTGGCACCATCACCACTACAACAGACTGTACTGTTTATGGTGTTTGGAGAGATCCTTTAAAATCTAGGAGACATATGACAATAACTTTAAAGGGACACTCAAGTCACCAGAACAACTATAGCTTAATGTAGTTGTTCTGGTGAGCATAATAGCTCCCTTCAGGAATTTTAATGTAAACACTGCCTTTTCAGATACCCCTCCACTGGAGGGGCTTCCTAGCTAAGGGCTGTACATGGCTGTACAACGTCCCCATGTTCTGCATGGAGACGCTGAATTTTCCTCCTCTATGAGGAGGTCCTGATTGGCTAAAATGACATTTGGCCCCGTCCCATACTGATTTTAGCCAATTCCTATGGGAAAGCATTGGACTGGCTAAAAATCGTCCATTTAGATGATGTCACAAAGGCGGCGAACCTGCGCAGAGCTGGAAATAATGTGAATTTTAAACTTTAATAAGGGGGACAAGCCACCTAAATTGTGGGTTTAGCACTATAGGGTCATGAATACATGTTTGTGTTCCTGACCCTATATAGATCCTTTAAAAAGAGAAGAAAAAAAAAAGACAAAAACCAAACAAAAAAAAAAATGAATAAAATCATAAAATGAACAAGCAACATATCTGCTTCAAAGGAACACTGTCGTAATGGGTTTAATAAAGGCTTTATTCTGGACTATGGAGTCTGAATTGATGGCTATGTTTAAGCCAACAAAAGTGCAGATTGGGCACTAGCTGTTTAACTCTCTTTGCAGATTAGAATGTGACAGTCACTACTCTACACATAGAGATAAAGTGCATCTGTGTTTCACTCACCTATAAATGTGTCAACTCAAAGCAAACCTTGTCTTTCAAAAGCGGA